AACCTCTGTAACTCTTTCATCGTATGAGGTCGTGGGAATTCCCGGATGTTCTCAACCATTTTCGGTAGCGGAGAAATGCCATTTCTTGTCACCACGTGCCCCAAGAAATCGACTTCTGAAACCCCGAACCGCATTTTCCGGCGTTGACTACCAGACCATGGTCGCTGAGCCGTTCGAGTAGGGTCCGCAGGTGGGCGAGATGCTGCTTTTTGCTCTTGGAAGCCACGAGCACATCATCTAAGTAGACGAAGATGAACGGTAGATCGGACAGGACAGAGTCCATGAAGCGTTGGAAGGTCTGAGCGCTGTTACGTAGGCCGAAGGGCATCCTCACGTACCTACTCACAGAGGCCGAATGGGGTGATGATCGCCGTCTTGGGAATATCCTCGGGCGCCATTGGAATTCGATGATAGCCCTTGACCAAGTCAATTTTGGAGAAAACCGTGCAGCCGTGCAGGTTCCCTGAGAAGTCGTGAATGTGCGGCAACGGGTATCTATCGGGTTCCGTTGCGTCGTTCACCTGACGAAAATCCCCACAGGGGCGGATGGAGCCGTCGGGCTTACCCACACAGTGCAGTGGGCTGGACCACGGACTGCTTGACTTTCGTATTATTCCGAGCCTCTCTAGCGACAGGAATTCTCTCTTGACCTACCGGAGTGCGTCGGGCGCTAATCTACGAGCTCGAGCGAATTGTATTATTGTATTATTAAATCTTGTGCGTTCCTCACAATATCTTATTTTGGAGTCTTTGGACGATATTCCTATTGCTCTCGCAAGTACAACCCCATAATTGGATTCCGTAGGTCCAGATCGGTCTCAAGACCTGGCGATTAAGTAGCAGCTTGTTATGAGTGGAAAGAGCTGAAGTACGGTCCAAGAGCCAATACATTTTTCGATATGTATCTCAGGTGGGTTCCGTCAGGCTTTTTTTTGACATGGGCTCTCCACCTCAGCTCCGCGTCGAGCGTCATCCCGAGGTATTTCGCGGCATTTTCATGAGGAACCCCACCCCGACCATTGATGAAAATCGGCACGTATTCTATTCGCTTGTTAGTGAAGTTTACATGAATTGATTTCGTTTCGTTGAGCTTTATTCTCCATCTCTCCGTCCACAGATGGACTACTTTGATCGCTTCTTGTAGTTTACTTGATGATTCGACAGCGTTGTGGCCGACCGCTAGGATTGCCGTGTCTTCCGCAACGGTGGCCACAACGCCGTTAAGGGGCGTCGGTAGGTCACCCGTGTAGAGGAGGTAAAGGGTTGGGCCCAGTATGCTGCCCTGCGGGACCCCCGCCCGGATTTCTCTCAAGCCAGAGTATGCATCTTCTTGCTTGATTCTGAAGTACCTTCCCTCGAGGAACAACTGGATTATATTCGCGTACTGCCTCGAAAGAAGTAACTTGAGCTCATAGTACAACCCCTCGTGCCAGACTTTATCGAAGGCCTGGGCCACATTCAAAAATATGGTCAAACAGACCCTCTTTTCCTCTAGTGCAGGGGTTCCCAACCTTTTTTTCTCTCGGGACCCCCTCCGAATCATGAGACCGACTTCGAGACCCCGTGCGATGAAGTGTCGAAAGTTATACGACAAAATACATATTGGTATGCTTCACGGTTCTCCGCCGTATGTCACGATTAGCATTTATTCGAATTTAAGTTACGATCATGTATAAATGCGGATGTCAATGACTTTTCTGCTGCTGTTTCGAATCCACAATCTTGGTGATTCGAGGCTCCGTATTGCTCAAGGCTATCCGTAAGTCCGCATCCGCGTTCAAACGCGACCTGTTCTTGGGCGATTCCAAATCGTTGCCTTCAAATTCCTCTCCTCCGTGCTTGAGAAAGTGGGGTTCGAGCTTCGAAGGCTTCAAACTCGTGTTCGCGAAAACGGTGCTGCAGAGAATGCATTGAGCCTTCGGTAACGAGTCTTTACCCATCACCAAAGTGAAACCAAATCGTACGTAGTCATCACTCCAGTTCCTCTTCTTCGACATTGTCTCTTCTGTGTTCAGTTCACTCAAAGAGTTTCCAATTGCTTGGTGAGCTGGACAAGAAGCAACACCGGAGACCTTTGAACCACAAAGAGTGAATCGATGACCTTCTTTGGATGGAGCAGCTCTGATAGCAGATCTCGAACTCGAGGATTTCTAATTTATTTGAACGGCTTCCTGGAACTGAGGAACCTTCTCGCGAGGGTGACGGTATTCTTCGAAGGTTTGAGACACTTGTGAACTTGTAAGGTCGTGGGATGCGAAATGCGAAGCGGATGACAGAATAGCTCGAAGGATTCCGAGGTTCGACTTCAAGCAGCTGGATTTTCCCTGGCATTGTTCCCGTCAACATCGTTTTAAGCGTCGGAATGAGGGAACGATATTCCGTCGCCTAAGGCTCCCATATCGGCGGCGAGGAGCGGATTCCTCATGGCGCGGTCCATATGCCTTTTCAAATCGCTCAGTTTTGGAGGCTTGGCTGACCCAGAAAGCAAATCTCGCGGCATGACTGGCAAGGTCTTCTCCAAGAACTCCGAGAATACTTCCCTATGTGAAACCTCATAGGATAATCATCCGACGTTTCCGCGACCCCCTGAGACGGGTCTCGGGACCCCCGGTTGGGAACCCCTGCTCTAGTGCTTCTTCAATAACATTAGTGATCCTATGAACCTGGTCAATGGTTGAGTGACGGGCCCTGAAGCCGAACTGATGTTCGGGGATGAGTTGTTTGTCTTCGATGATCGGTTTGAGTCTGTTCAGAAGAAGCTTCTCGAAGAGTTTCGAAATGATTGGAAGAAGTGAGATGGGGCGGTACGATGATGCTTCGTTGGGTGGTTTCAGCTATTTTCCAGAGTTGGGGGACATATTGTAGCCTGAATGATGCGTTAATCAGATTGGTGATTTTGATCAAGGCCTTCTTCGGTAGCTTCATCAAGATTTCTCCGGTTATCAGATCGAAACCTGGAGTTTTTTTCGGGCTGAGGAGCAGGATTTCTTTCTTGACTTCCGCCGGTGTGACGAATCTTATCTCGGAGCTTACTTGCTCTGCTGCCAAAGGCATCGAGGATCTTTCGGATTCCTCGTTGGGTCTGAATATTGTTTGAAGATTTTCGGCAAATCTTGCTGCTTCCTGTTCATCGTTCCTGGCCCAACTGCCATCTGAGTTTTTGATTGGAGCAGAATGCCGAATCGGTCTCTTTAAGTCCTTTGATATCCTCCATAGCGAATAATCGGAGTACGCGTCATTGGAGAGGGTCCGAAGGCGTTCGTTAATTGCAGAATCTCTCAATTCTCTGATTCTGTTTCTCACGGTGGAGGTCAGTCTGTTGAGAGTAGTCTTGTCTTTCGGATGTCTGCTTTGTTGCCTTTTTTTTCTGGCTCTTCTCTCTTGCGAGATCATTTGTAAGATCTCTCGTGGGTGGTAGTTCTTTTGCCTTTTCGGTCGAATATCGGGCGTGTTCTGCCACGCAGCCTGTTGGATATCGTAGATGAGTTTTTCGACCTCGAAGTCCACTTGGTCACTATTTTTCAGCGGGACTGCGAGCTCGATTCTACGTTCAAGCGCTATCCCGAAATTCTCCCAGTCCGTTTTGACTAGGTAGGGTTTGCTGGGTTTCGAGTTTAAGTGCTCACCCAGGGTCAGCAGGATTGGTGAGTGATCCGAGCTCAGATCTTGGCAATCCTCGATTCGGACGTAATGATTGGGGATTTTTTTGAGTATGAAGAAATCCATGCGATCCGGTATCTTGTCAGGGTCTGTTGGCCAGTATGTCGGTTTTCCTGTCGAGATCACTTCTGCGTTGGTCATTTTTATTGACTTCATCAATTCTCTTCCCTTCGTTGAGGTCAGTCTCGATCCCCAGTGGATATGCTCCGCGTTGAAGTCCCCTCCAACGATGAAACGATTACTCAACCGAGCGAGGAACTGGTTATATCGATCGCACTTGATGTTGTGCTTCGGTGGGCTGTAGACGCTCGCTAATCTGAAGGATCTTGTTTTAGAGGACGCTGTGATTGAGGTCGCCTGAATATCCATTTCGCCAAACTTGGCTTCTTCGTTGTGCTTGATGTCTTCTTTTATTATTATTGGACTCCCGCCTCGAGCTTTATTCTTGGGATGGATAGTGTTGTAGGTTTTGTAGCCATTAAATTCGATGAAGGATTGCTCAGAGAAGTGCGTCTCAGATATCAGACATATATCGATGCTGCTCATGTCAAGGACCGCCTGGAGTTCTTCCTGATGTCCGAGGATGCCGTTTGCGTTCCAGCTCATTATTCCGAGCGAGTCGTAAATTTTCCTTAGTTTCGGCTTGCGCCGTACTCAATTCGATTCTCGATTCCGCTGATTCTCCCTTCGAGCTTAGTAAGTTTATCCAGTATCAGCAACAGGGCATTGCCTTCTGTTCTCTCCTTCTTGGTTTCTGAGCCATCCGTTGCACCCCCGGGATGCCGCAACCGTGGCATAGGTTCTCTCTGTCACCGTGCTCGTGTCTTTCCTCGGCATTGGTTTGGCTTGATGGTCTTCTTGGTTGGGCTGGTGAACTTTTCGGATAAGATTTCCTTCCCTTGTTGTTCTTGATGTTCTGTAACTCTTCCGCCACCATGCATCCCCTATAGTTAGCGGGATGAGGTTCTTCACAACTCACGCATTTTGGCTCCTGATTCTCCGCTTTAGTGCAATTTTCCGTGCGATGCTTCCCAGTGCATTCGACACATCTCGGTTCTCTTCTGCAATAGGTTTTCGTATGACCAAATTGCTGACAGTTTTGACGTGAAAACGTCTTTGTCCCAGGTTTCGGCTCTTTTGATTTTCGGCGTACTGGGTTTCGGCTGCCTGTTGGCGAAAGCAATCACCGAAAACGACGCAAAATTCGCGCAGCTAAACTACTACTGTGGATCCGTGGCCCGTCGACGAATCGAAGATGTCGTTGTGCGTCTGGCTGAAAGCACGCCTCCATACGAGGTTCTAAGAAAGAAACTAGAGGTAAATTCCTAGACGTCAAGGGAAATATATCCGCTTATATCGACTTCATTGAGCGTCGCCAACGACCTGGAGAGTCACAGAGGCATTCATCACGGATCTTGGCGAGCTGGCCACTTGGGTGTATTTTGATAAATTGAAGAACGTGGACATCGTGGCATCTGCTCTGGCACGAGGGACTAATGTCCCACAAGTAGCCGGAGAACTTCTTAGGCATCAGGAACGCTTGACTTCGCAAGAATTGATCGATAGAGCCATCGATATAACGTAACACATGAAATCACGCAGCGAAATCTGTACAAGAATCATACCTGGGGTGTCGGATAACCCTTTTGGCTACAGCCAAGATTCACCTAGTTGGCCTCAACCCATGGAGGTTGATTCGATCTCCTCCGGTCAACGACCCCGATTCTCCGCGACAGCTCGCGCTAACTACCAATCCGCGACAGCCTCGAATTACAGATTACAGCAGGAACGGGTCGAATTCACAAATGAATGACAGCAAACCACGATTCTGCTCGAGGTGCGCTTAAAATCAGCACGGCCCCACTTACCCATTTTGTCGGGCTCTCAACAATCATTGTGAGAAATGTCGAGGTCTGGGACACTTTCAACGTTTTTGCCCGAGCGCAGGTTTCCAGGCAAACCAGAGCAACCGTCGTAAGAATTATACAGTGAATGCCATGGAAATCCGACACGACCAGATGCTCCGGGATCAGAGACCTGCTCCACATGATGAGAGTCAAAATCTACCAGTGGATCGCACAGTGATGCAAAATGGTCAACTCCGTTTCAATAGAGAAACCCAACGTTTCGTCTACTCAACGTCTCATAACTCGAGGCAGATGATAGCAGAGGCCAGAATCAATGAACACATGGTAAAAATAGCATCAATCAGAGAGGAGGTCGATGGTCGATCATCAATAGCAAAGATCTTCCAATGATGAATTCAGAGAACATAAGACCGACATCGGTCATCTTGAAAGCGTATGGTGGAGAACAAGTCGAATTGCTAGGCGAAACACTGTGCAAATTGGAATTCCTCGGGAAAACGGTCTGGTGCAGCATGTTCGTGGTACAGGGAAACAGAAAGTCGATACTTGGATAGGATACCCTGGGAAAACTCGGGATTCGGATAAATTGCAACACAAAGAAGTGCGAGTTAAAAAATAGCATCTCGGAGAAGACATCTAATCTCCCAGAAGAACTAGGAGAATTCAGCGATCTCTCATCCGGTGGACTCGGTTTGGTGCGCACCCATCAGCACCGAGTCGGGGTGAGATCGGGAGCGGCACCCGTTCGACAACCGATTAGACGCATGCCGTTCGCTGTCCGCGAAGAAGTTGAGCGGAAAATAGAGGATCTCCTTCGTCTTGATGTACTCGAACCAGTCAGAACCAGCGAGTGGATATCTCCCTTAGTCGTGGTTAAGAAGAAGAGCGGTGATATTCGAATATGCGTAGATCTACGGAGAGTCAACGAAGCCATCGTACCCGACGCATTTCCAATCCCTCACTTTGATGACTTATTCGAAAAATTGCGCGGAGCCAAATACTTCTCAAAACTGGATCTCAATCCAGCATACCATCAGGTGGAACTAGCTGAACAATCTCGAGACTTGACAGCATTCAGCACGCCAAATGGGGTATTTCGATTCAAACGGATTTGCCTTGGATTAGCATCCGCGCCGTCGGCCTTCCAGGAGATCATGCTTCTTCAAGGAACGATCAGGGGTACTCATCTACCTTGACGACATTCTTGTGATCGGTGCCACCGTAAAAAACACGGCTATCGATTGCAGCAGGTTCTCAGCCGTATACG